TGAATCTTGACTATTCAGTATTACTTCTGTGCAGCTTTCATCTACTACATTCTCCTCTTTGTGACTTTGTTTTGTCTCTGATATTTCTTCAAGGTATTTATCTAAATCAGTACTGAGAAGTGACACCATGCCTGACATATCCTTCTCAGTTGTGGATTGTTGGTGTATCTTTCTCTCAATGTGAACCTTTTGAAATGGAGTCTCTGACATTGAAGTTGGTTCGGGTTGTTTGGTTGCACAATCATGTTTCTGCAAGTCCTCCTCCGTGTGTCTTTGTTTTGTCTCTGACATTTCTTCAAGGTATTTATCTAAATCAGTACTGAGAAGTGCCATCATGCCTGACATATCCTTCTTTGTTGTAGATTGTTGGTGTTTCTTTCTCTCAATGTGAACTTGTTCGAATGGTGCCTCTGATAGTGTACTAGATGTGGGTTCTTTGACTTTGCTTTCATGGTCGCAAAATGTTTCTTCAAGTGAAAAAACACCATATCTTTCTTCTGTACTTGTAGAAAATGTAAACAAATTTTTAGTCCCTTGGTCAGTTTTTGGGAGGATTTCATAGTTTTCTTTCACTTCAGAACTGGAATGACAACTCCTCAAATCAACTCCATTGTCAGAGTTTGCAGACATGTTGTCATGCTTGGCACTCACAGGCTCTTGAGGACTTGTGTCCTCTCTAAAACAGGGACTGTAAATGGTTAGTGGATCTGAGTCAAAATCATCAGCCAAGGTTTCTTCCTTAGGTGCCCCCGGCTGATAGTTTACATCGGCAGCTGTTGATGTTTGCCTAAACAGCTGATACTCAGGACTTTCCTCAAGTTCAGCTTTTATGTCAGCACTGAAATCCTCAGAAGGTCTGCGATCAGGGCTAATCTGACTATCATCAGAAAAACTCCTCTTTGTGCTTATGCGTGGTTCCTCTAACCACATCTGGTGTGTGCCTTTTCCTGGCAGCTCTTGCTCGTTTCTACTCGAACTAACCCATTCAACCTGGACATGTTCTGTCTGGCCAAAAAGGTTTAGATCTGAACATTGCTGTGACTCATCAGCATCCTCTCTCTTTAATATGGGTGTTTGGCCCTGTGGATCCAACATTCCATGTTGACTGGCATAACTTTGTGTTAAAGAAGATGCGATGGCACTGTGTTTAGATCTTTGATATTCTTCAGCATCTACTGGTTCAAGCAGTTCAGTTTGAAATTCTAAAGACTGCTTTGCCTCGGCTGTTGTTATCTGCTTTTTTATTGACATGGTGTCATTTTCTGACAACCCCACAGCTCTAATTGGGAGTTCTTCATGACTTTCTAGTGCATCTGCAAATTTGACTGTTTTTATCTTGTTAATATCTGAGACTGAGTGCTCTCTGGGAAAGCTTATTGATTGGTCAGATGTCACCACATATGGGTCTTCTGTAGGACTCTGTTTCATTGTCTGTATCTTTTGCCCATTCTGGAATGTTTTCATCAGCTCTTTCACAGACATAGCGTGCTCAGTGCCCTTCTCTGGCTCATCTTTTTGTGGGCTGATTCTTATTGGGTCAAACTGAACTGTCTCAGATACTTGTGCTGTTTTCCCTAGGAGGGAATCTTTAGAAAGTAAGAGTGATTCATCTGAATGATGTTCAGTTGGCTGCCGCTTATCAGAGGTTTCAGAGTCAGACATTGTAGGAATACAAGGAGCCTTAATTTTGCTCTCTAAAGCCCCTGGTTTAGTTTCTGGGGTATCCAGATTTGTTTGAAATATTTTCATCCGGTCCTTCACAGACACTGTCTCCTTGTCTGGCAACTCACAACTGTCATATATGTCCCTGAGTGGGCTTTCAGAATTTCCAACGTCATACTGAACCGTATCAGAAAACTTTACTGTCTTTCCAGAGGAATTCTTTCTTGATGTTAACAGTTTTTCTTCATCGTTGTCTTTATTCAGATTTACTGGTTCTTCCATTTTGTTAGTTTCGGCACATTTCTTGACATCCTGCTGCTGATGGAAAGGCGTAGCACCGTGAGGTTGGATTGGTGATCTTGGCTCGTCTGTGGCACCCAGCTCCATCTCCTGTATTGTTTCAGAATCGGGTAATACTGATCCTGATGTTGAGAAAGGTTTTGCTTTGTGTTCAAAAAGCCCAGATTTACATTTCGAAGGGTCCTGCCCGGTTTGAAAGGCTTTCATCAGCTCCCTTACTGACATAGTTTCCTCTAATTGTTCTGTTTGGGATCTTGGAGATTTTGGAACCACTGGAAGTTCTGGCATGGCTTCCTCTGGTTCCTTTGCTGGGATAGAAGTTTTTGCTTCAAACGCTACACCTTGAATACTTCTTTGCATTTCCTCTTCCTCCACTTTGTTCTGAAAAGCTTGAACCCTGTCTTTTATAGAACCAATAGGTGTCTCCACTACTAGAGGAGAAGCAGGAGGTTCTATTAATGCGGTGGCTCCAAGGCCACTCTCTTTGAGAATAAGATCACCATCTAAAGACTCCTCAGAACTCACTCTTTCTAGGTCTCCCTCAGAACTGCTACACCTAGAGTGCTCTCTTTCTCTTAGTTTCTTCCTAATGGGCTTCTTGATATCTGGGGGACGCCGTTTGCCATCAGGCTTTAAGATAGCTTCCCCACAACTGTCCTGAACAACATTTTCTTGGGAATCATGTTTCACAGGAGGTGTCTGTTCCACTTTGTCTCCAATATCTGTACTGATATCTGTTATGTCTTTCACTTCAGTGTCAATTTTACTTAAACCTTGTGTGACTGGTTTTACAAAAGCTTGTGCCTCATAGATTGAAGACTCCTCTTTTTGTGGGATTGCCCTACTGTTAAGTAACATGTCTTTTCTAATTCTTTCTGGCTCGAACTGTTCCAGCACAGTATATGACTCCTTTTCTTCCAACCCCCTTACTCCAAATCTCTCCTCATACACATCTGCAGTGAAAACCCCAGGTGCTTTGATGTCCGACATGTCTGACAGGAGGTCTGGACTCGCAAGTGTTGCAGGATCAAGAGGTTGGTTAGTTCTCAAGGACAAAGTCTCAGTTGACTCAGATTCATCATCTTCAATTAAAAGAGTTTCAGAACCAAACAGGGTAAAGAACATAAGGGACAAATGAAGTGGGGGGAAGAGAGACATCAGAAAACTGTCATCAAGACAACGTCATCAAAAATCCACTTTCAGTTCAAAGAGTAAAGCGAAGACTGAAAATTGAGGGATAAGGAAGTCTTGAAAAGAAGGCCAAAAAGAAGATGACAAAGTGGTCCAGATAGGTTTGAAGGGGAATAGAGCAGCAACAGCATAAGCAAAGCAGAGAGGAAAGTGGACAGGTATAGTAACGATTTGAATTATTTGAGTTCTATATATTTTGATGTCTTATACAGAATGTACAAACAGGACAAAATGGAACATAGAAACTATCGTATGGCACAAAAAGACAACATGGCTTGGTAACAGAGGCATAAACCTTCTCAAGATTGCTGCTGACATATTCATGTCTGCCTTCAAATTCAAATCATAAATCATTAAAAAAAATTAAGGCTAAAGAATGGTGTCACCGAGCAGCTAATCATGTCAAAATAGTTGACTAACTTAAATTGCAATATTCAAAGTATCTAGAATCTGCAATGTTAAAAATTTGTGAATGGTAATATGAGATTTCCAGTTTTTAAAAAATCTTTTACCCTGTAGAACTGTCAACTTTTACAGCGATAGTGATGTGAAATTATGTTAATCTGATTTGAAGGGCAAATGTGAAGAAAATTTGGATAATGATATAGTCAGAATCAGGCAAAAATGAATGATGACTATGAGAACAAAGCAACAAATGCAGACGTTTTGGGAACAGACAAAAACAATATAATACTATTTTTTTTTACAGAAAACTAAGGTATTCAATCACTGGTAAAAGTGTTAAATGAAAGAAAAATGATTGATTGCAATGGGTCAAAATGAATACTCTTTAGATATTGTAACCATAAAACCATAATTTTCAACGGATGATTAACTTCATGCTCAAACGTGGTGAAAATCAAATCAATTTAGAGGAGTTTTCCGATTACAAGTATTATTTTGACCATAATTTATGAATAATGAAAAACAAAATTATTAAACAGGTGGACAGATGTAAATGCTTGTGGGAGGAGTAAGTGTGTGGCGTCTGGAGTAAGGAAATCACAGCCATAGCATAGCTGCCAACAACAAACATGTTACTACACACCATGTTAGTAAAGCAAAATAAGAGAGCAGGGTAAATCTAAATAAATGCTTGGCATATCTTTTTACGAACACATCACAACCTTTATAAGTAGTATTATGTCAACCCGGTGATTTATTTACACTTAAGACTCTAATATCATATACAGAATAAACTACTTAAAACTGTTTTGATCTCATATGTGAATCTATTTAAAATTCAAACCATTACTAAAAAAATCAGAACATTACTCACTCCTAGCACTAAAATTATAAAAAGTAATACTGCAATACAACTTACATTTCTTTTCACTCTTTTCACTCTGCAAAAAAAGATAAAACAGTGATAGTTATAACCCAATCAGGTAATAATGTTCGGCAGCATTCTGGCTACCTCTCAAACTTTTTGTCTATACCTCATCATCTCCATCTTGGTCTGAATCAGACTCCTAGAACGAGGAATAAAAAAAAAGAAGCTAAGTTTCAGACACCGCAGTCAGAATTAATACATACATCTTCATAAATACCAACTGAGATGCATTCAGACTGACCTTTGAGTATGCTGGAAGAGTGATGTTTAGGTTGCAGATGGCATTGTGGTGAAGACTTCTGTATGTACGGGGTTCCTTGGTGAAAGACAAGCGACCACATGGCTCCTGTGCAGTATCCCTGATCTGTTCATAGGTCAATGAAATAGATCAGTGCACAATAAATATGAAGGTTGCTAGTTGATTTGTGACAGGCTAAAAAATGTTGATCAATTGTACTGTCATACTTTAATAAAGAGGGCCAGTCTGTTCTCTTTGAAGGCAAAAAAACTGAACACGTGGTGTTGTCCAGTCTTGGTAAGGGGCACCAGGTTTCCAAAGCAGTCGGCATAAATAGGTTTTCCCTCCAGCACCTGTGGGTGGTTAGACCAGTTTCTTTTTAAAACTAATTCAAAACTCATTCAAGGCATATCTAAAGACAGTTAAAGATCAGTTGACTTGCGAGGGGACCATTTGAAGTCCCTACTCCACGGATGTAATCTGTTATTCTCACTACGATGTCATTGCAATCTGATCTTTTACCTGTTTTATTATCTATCTGCAATCAGCCAATAGTTTGGCAGTACTTTTAGCATTTCTTGCCACCTCCCCTTTAGTTGAGGTCTTAGTATGTCTCCATGAGAGCTGGCCTATGGCTATAGCTTAGAAAGGACCATTTACATTGACATATTAGGACTAACACGTCTTGCAAATAATACATCACTACCACCTCTACACAGCGCCGTACACTTGTGCTTTTTTATTTCCAGGTCAGAGCCTACAGTTGCAACTGTGGAGCATATTTACCACATACAGTAATCAGTCAAAGGTCCATTGAACATTCAACTCTTAAGCTAATTATTTGAATGTGCTTTCCAAATGCTGAAAATTTTTATCACTGAATTTTCATATGTTCATTTCACGTTTCAGCTTTAAGGAACGCATCAGCAAAATTGATCTAATGTCATGTGAACCCGCCGACTTTTTCCCACTGTCCCCTCCCCTTATATCCGCCCCTCCAATAACAGTGCACCTCAACATCTCGGCTGCGGGCAACTTCAGTGAAGTTCTCTTGCTGCTCCAGCGTTTTGTCCATCTTGTCGTCTGTCATGCAAAAGCAGCGGAGGCGAGCCTCAATGGGGTCCAGTGTCTTAGCAAAAATGACAAACTTAGCCATGTATGGAACACAGATGATTTCTCTGTACAGCTGAGAGCCAAAATTGACAGACTCCTGAGTCTGTCTGCAGTCTATCAGCCAGAACCTGTACATATGAACGAAACATTAAATTACAAACTGAGAGTGTTATCCAGGAACAACAGTACGTTTGATAAGCAACCACAGCAATGAAAAGCAAGTGTAAAATACATGCCCTCACACTTGAAGGGAATCTTAAAGCTCACCGTGCTGATACATTGGTGGTGAAGGAAACACATTGGTTAACAAAGGTGAGAGGTGTGGAACCAGTGATGTCCTCCCATTGGGCAGGAGTGGTTCCTCCTGAAATATAGACCAAAGATGTGAAATATTCTAAAAACAGGAAAGATCAGATATATGCAAATGGGTAATAGCACAGACTTTCTTGCTGAAACAAAAACAAAAAGAACTAAGTACATTAGACAAATCTCCACATTTAGGAGTGTGAGGTGTTAATTTGGAATGACATTTCCTGAAAAACCACACAGCACTCAATAACACAACACTTTTCATTTCTATATCATTTCTTGACAGTACACACATAAAAAAAAAATACTTACCAGTAATACTGCAAAGCAAACGTAGAGTGGGGGTCTCCCCACTGATACACGCGTTAGTCCCATCACTGTTGGAGCTTTTGGGAATTGGGATTGTCATAGTGATTGGTTTATGGAATTTTCTCCGTCTTGGCTCCAATGTGACGATTGGACTGAATGTTGCTTTATTGCCCAGAATCTTTCTCACCACCTCAACATCAATGGGTTGCGCCTAGAACAAAGTTAAAAAATGTCAGTCAACATTAACATTGATGTAAAAAACATAATTTTGAGCACTTTATTTTTCTGTTCCTTCTACCGGGTAATCTTTGAGATTTAGCGCATGGCCCTGGAGAATCTATGGACCAGACCAGAGTTTTGGAATGTTCCCCTTCCTGGTTTCCATTTGTACTTTGAGTAGTATTGGCCAGTCATTTCTGAGCAGGCCCTTGTGGCACATTAATTAACTTGTGATGGCCAAAAGAATAAGGAGCACACAAACAACATACCTGTCATTGTCCAAGGGCAGTTTAACTTTTTTTCCATTTAAACTTTTTTTTTAAAAACAAGACCTATAAAATCCACAGAAACATGTACAACCCATCTGTATTTCACACTTTTCTTTTCTTTGATGAGTGCATTATTGTGAACTCTGTAGAGATGTACCTGTAGACCAACTCTAATCTTCTTAGTGAGGGCACCTTCAGGGAAGACAGCCTGGACTTGGGGTACAAGAGTACTACTTAGGACCCCACCCTCTGGACCAATGAAATGACTGTCCTGCTTTATTCTCGACACCATAGCAAAGTACTGTGGGAAATCCCTCGTGATGATGCGACAGATTCTTTTCTTCTCAAGCTCTTCAGGGGAGTCGAGTTCTGTGAAAGTAAGAGACATTGATGTCATTAAACAGGTTCATTATTTCCACTAATAGTTCTGCTATTGCTAAATTCCTACACCATTTTCAAAGCAGTTTAATTTATAAACTTGTTCCAGTGTCAACGAAGATATTGCATCCATATGAATTAGAAAAAATCTGTGAATAAAAAGTAGATAAAGGTTTCTGTGTTGTGGGATATTAAATACGCTCTGTTTCCCAACACAATCCCTTACTTTCATCCATGCCGTTAAGTATCTGGTTCAGTTCTTCTTCGGTGAAGTCACAATGGTGTTCTTTCCAGTTCTCCCCTGATTCGCTCCTTAAGATGACAAGCTCTCTCTCTGTGCCCCGCAGAGCAGCAAAGTGAGGAATCTCTACAATCACGGGCCTGAAAGAGGTTTAAAATGCTAAATCAAACAGCAATTAAACGTTGGCATCAGACACAATCGAATATGAAAAGCACTGTGCATGATCCAGATCAATCAATGTTTCAAATTTGACCGCATCATGCTAAGAGCAACAACAGCTATAAAACAAGGAAAAAAAGTCAACATAAAGACAAGGAAGTAACTCAACAACAGTGATGGGTCAGGAGGCTCATAACAGGATGTGTAGAGAAAACAAAGGAAGGGATTAAAAAAAAAAGTAGTGTACTTATAAAAAAGCGAAAAAAAACCCAAACAAAAAAACATGTTAACGCAGGTACGGGGGAGAAAATATGGGCAAGGAATGTAACCGGGATTCCAAATAGGCTTGGTGTCCCCTCCCATGATCCTACCCAAGGAACTTGGTTCCTGGAGGACCCAGCTGCAGGATGCGACTGACCAGGCTCTCACCCTCATTCAGAGGGGGTGGAGCTGTGGGAAGGTGGAGCTTACTAATCCATACGCAGCACAGAAGAGAGGAGCGAAGAAGAGAGTGTGAACACGCAACACAGCCATGTAAACGCATTCACAGGAGCAAATACACAAACTCAGGCTCTCACGCAGTCGGCCCACGAACGGTCAAAACTTTCGCCTACCCCAGGAACTGAGCTCCGGTGGGTCCCACTTCGATGATGCGACCGGCTAGCCCCTCGCCCTCCACCATAGGGGGCATCGATGCCAACCGATGCCTCTTGACCAGCCTGCAGGTCACCCGGGTCGGCGCGGAGCACTTCCTTGGCGGCACAATGATCCGCAGGCCGTTGTGACGCCAGCCACGCATAGCGCCGCCTCTGGCATCGACCATGAAGCTGACCAGGAAGCTACAGAAAGATTCCCCAGTAAATGATAAACACGTATTTGGTTCAAACAACACATGGATAATCAGTCTTTCTGCAAACCCGCATGCACGCAACGCATACGAAGCAGAATGGCTATAGGGCTGTACTTTTAATGACATGACAGGGAGCACTCACAGTGAGTGTAACAACAAGCTTATGAGCCCTCAGTGGCAATAGTTTTGGTCAGTGTAGTACTTCATTATATATTTCATGGAATTTATTCATACAGTCAAAACAGTACAGTGTTATGGTATACTTATTCTGTTAATGCCATCGGTTTATTTATTTAATCTTGGGAAATATGCATCAGCAGATCGGGATTAAAGGACTTAGGTATGAAGGATAAAACAAGCTTGGTTAGAGCATCTCTTGTATGAAGTCATGCATTCAGGACCCATGCAGAGGAGCGGGGCAGGAGCGACGAGCTCGTTAATCTGTTACTGCGGAACTCTGACCGGTTACAAAGGATAGGGGAAGGAGAGAGTTGCTAAAACAAAGTATCACCTGCTGTTGTCATGGTCTAGGCATGGAGAGGAACGGCTAGGAGCAGAACACGACCACAGGCACGCGCACACACGTACACAATCACAGACAAAAACCAAGAGGAGAGAATGCAAAGGAGGCCACAAAGAGAGTGAACAAAGAGAAAGAGAGAATAAAGAAGTGAGAAAAGGGGTACGTAACACAGACACAGAGGGCTAAAAAACAACATGAAAAAGTAAATTTGAATTGTGCACACTCCTAAACAAAAATTCATGAGAGATGGAGTTTGTATTTCCAGACACAATAAATATCTGTGGAGCCCCTTTGTTTTTGTTTTTTTAAGCTGGGCGTTGGGATGGTAAACACTGAAACAGACCTAGAAAATACATCAATAGATATGTACTATTGTTGCATGTTGCAGAGCTCCACAGAAATAAAAGCAAAACAGCAGATGATACAGTTATTTTGTAAGCTTAACGTGGCTAATTACCACCCTCATCTATGCCGACAGCCCACAAACACTGTAAAAACCCCCAAAAAAGACCAGCACCTCCGACACGTCAAATCTACTGTGAAATGTTACAGGATCACATTGATCGTGAGACTTGACTTTGAGAGCTAGGCTATGTGTTTACACAAAGAGAGACGGAGCATCTGACCCTCTAAGTAGGGATTTTTCTAAATTGTGTACAGTGGTATCCACTCTGGCATTGATTTCCCTTTGAGATTGTTGAAACAGGTACAGGGGCCCTGACACATATCGTAAGCACAAACATAAGAATGTTCCATCCTGAGTGCTTCAAGCCTGTTAAACTAAATCCTGGATCAGATTATTGTAGAATATGGTATTGCATCTTGTTATTTAATTCCCTCAAAAGATCTCGAGGAAGTCAGAGCCATAAATAGACTCCTCTGGAACTTCTTGTGAAACTGAAGACTTGCAGATTAGGGCTGCCCCATAAACACCTTAAAGTAAAAAGCAGCTGTTAAGCCTGCAAGTGTGCTTGGTTTGGAAACAAATTCAACTTGTTTGAAAATGCTTCTCGGTGCACATATGCACGTGTGTGTGTGTGTGTGTGTGTGTGTGTGTGTTCACGTGTTGGTATACCCTGAGTGCAGCAGGCTAGACGATAGCACTACATTATCAAGGTGTTCAGCACCCCAACTCAGGCGGAAGGAGTCATTCTCGGGCTCTCTAGACAGCATTGACACCTAAAGACAAGGCAGGTTATTGGCAAAAATCCAAGCTCTTTGAGTACTTTTTCCTCATTTTACAATACAAATCTTTTGCATGTTCTGTGCTAACCTGCTGGCTTGTCAGCAGGTCTTCAATGAGAACTCCCTCTCTCTGATGGGAGCTTTTGTGAATAGGAGCACGCTGGGGCCTGTTGGAAAGCAGCATTTATCCACAGCTTGGTTGACGTTGGTGCATAAGAGTTGTTTTTTTTTATTTGTTACATTCCTTCTCACACATATGTTATGTAGTGTCTCTGTAAATCCACAAACTACTGCGTGTTGTTTGGTACCTGTCCAGGTTGGGGCTCAAATAGTTGAAGCCGTCCAGATAATGTCCGGGCAGGGAGTCGTCTCCGAGCTCTCGGAGGTCTTCTGCTCTCAGGTACTCCCCTCCATCACCTGTCATGGTGTCCTCACCTGGAAAACAAACACAGAAGCTGCAATACGAATATTCCATCAACATCTTCCCATTAGCTCATCGAAACCCCTGAGAAGCTGGTTGAGAAAACTCAGTCAAATGAAATGAGTAAAATCTTCCATGTTAAATCAAACAGTTAGAATTAAAATTAGTCCCAAATGCTCTAAAATTCCCATGCAGGTAATATTTTCCAGTCAGGATCATAAGCAGGCATTAGACAACAAAATTATTAAAACCTTTAAAGTATAAAATGTTAAATCCAAGGAAACACAGAAAACAGTCTATAAGCTGAAAACACACACAGTATTTTATTTTTAATGTACTGTGCAGTTAATATTGGACTTAAGGAGGTCAGAGGACAAGCTTAAAATCAAAACTCTCACAATCCTCTCAATGTAAAAAAGTCTGTGCAGCACTGCACACCAAACTTGCAGAGCAGACATTTGGCAGTACCTTCCAATTGCACACACATCTCAGATATTGGTTCATCTTCAACCTTCAGAGCTAAGAGACATGACGTTTTTTTTACATTTATTTATTTTCTATTCACTCATTTATTAATCCCCCTAAAACAAAGCACCTCCTGACCATTATAATAGACACAGTGTTAGAATAGATTTATATTTGTATATTAAGAAATACAATAAAATAATTACCTTCTTCATCAGATACATCAAGTATCTCAGTCATGGTCTCTGGAACATTGAGTTTGTGTTTCTCAGTAACCGTCTGGCATGGAACCCATTCATAGAAATGAAATCCAAACAACAAACAAAGAAGTTCAATTTAGAAAGATGAAATGTGGGAGAAACCTTAAAGGCTCTTCGAAGCGCAAAAGTATTACAAGCTCACCGTGGTGGTCATGATAACCTCTTCAGTCACAACTTTAAGCGTATCCACCACAGAGATGTAACCAAGGCGTTTGGCAATCGACAGAGCAGTGTTCCCATTCTAGCACACAGAATAACATTTGTGAGAGAAAACGCGATAATGCGGCTCAAGTGAAAGGTGTTTTACAATATGTGGGATAAATGCACTGGCTTCTTTGTCTCACCACTGTGGTGGTGTTGGGCTTGGCGCCATGTTGCAGCAAAACATTGATTATGTGGGTATTCCCTTGTTGCGCCGCCTGGTGAAGGGGTGTGTAACCGTTCTGGTAATAACAAAACGAATAGTATAAATGTCACGGCATGGATTTCAATCGCCGCTTAAACAGAACCGTCCTTGTGTGCCGCAAACACAAGATTTGTGTACTACCTTGGTTTTTGCGTTCACGCTGGCTCCTTGCTGTAGCAGGAAGTTGACCATCTTGACATTTCCATAGTGACATGCCACAATTAGAGGAGTGTATCCAAGCTGAAAGTATTTATGGGGCGAAAGAATGAAACATTATTTCTGGTCCAAATAAGTGCTACATTGACCTAGTGTAGCATTTAATTATATGATATTAATAAAGATCCCACACTGTGCAAAATATGTTATCTATTGGGAGATAAGATGCCCAGAGGTAGCTTTGATGAGGTACATCTGTGAAACGTAGTTGGATCTCACATGATATTCACCAATGTTAAGTAAACCCGGATGGATCGGAAATGTATAGTTCAAGGTAAACTGTGCATTGTGTGTAGAAGAAATGTGGTTAGGGTGTTTCCAATTAATTAGAGATGCTTTCCTGTATTTGTATATGTTTTGATGTATTAGTGATAAATGTTAATATTCCAAAGATACCTTAAAACAACACCAATGTTTGAAACTATAAAGACTCCCTTATATCTTTAGGGAAACATGCATTTCCTGGCTTGGATATTAGAACACCATTCTAGCTTTCAGGGAAAAATAACTAAGCAATAAGGTGATTCAGGCACGGGGATAGTCGCATTTGTATTTCACACAGATAAGCTCTTACTTATGAATTTGTATATACCATCATATAATGTTACTAATCTTATGTCTGCATGTGCTCATTGTTGCCGTATGGGCACTGGGCTTGTGTTAGTACTTTAGTTTGCTGGTCCAAGTTGGCATCATGTTTGGCCAGTACTTCTGCTGCATTGACCCTATCTTCTTGGGCGGTGAGATGCAAAGGAGTGAGTCCACTCTGTGAGACACAAAACACAAGAGTTTCAGCTTCCAAAGCACGAGCAGCTCGAAACAGAGACAAAAACAATGAACCCGTGTGCATGTGTGACCTTGGTGGCAGTGTTGACGTGCGCTCCTTTGCCCAAAAGCAAGCTGACCATCTCCGCGTGTCCTTCCTGGGCAGCCAGGTGCAGAGGGCTGACTCCCTGCTTGGTCAGAACATTGGTCTCTGCTCCGTACTGCAGCAGTGCTAAAGCAATGTTTGTCTGATTCTTTTTGGCTGCAATGTGAAGAGGAGTGTAGCCGTTCTGGAAAAAGAGGAAGGTTAGTGACATACTGTGACAAAGAATCGGAAATCCAAGAGCAAAGAATTATTCACATTACCTTTAAACATTTCTTTTAGTAAAGTCAACTACTAACCACATTAACAATAAGACTGTGTGTTACTTTATTCTTCAAACAAGTTCTATAGGAGTTTAACTGGGACTAACCTTTGCGGTGACATGAGGTGAAGCGCCTTTATCCAGCAATAGCAAAGCCACCTCTTGGTTGTCATAATGTGCTGCTACATGTAGTGGAGTTAGGCCATTCTGTGAGAAAAAGAAATTACATAAAAACAAATAACATGCCCTTACAATCCTGTCATTCAATGTGCTGCTAACACAAATCTAGTTTTATTCAATAGCAAATCTATCATACAAGCATCAAGTAATCTTAATACCCTTCCAATGTTAGCATCGGTAGGTTATTAACAAGCCAGTATTTTTATACGATCAGAGTTTAAAAAAAACAAAAAACAAAAAAACAAAACCTTAATACCGGGATGTAGTATTTTGGAGTTCGTATATGATTGTGGTTTTCCCCCAAAAATGCTAAACAAAATTCTACACTTTAAAGATTTATTTTTAAAATAGATATATATTTATCCCATGGCACTTTCTTGAATTTTTGCAGAGCTGCGCTGACAGGAAATGTTGGCTTGGACCCTGTTCAGGCTGTTGTAGCTGACCAATTGAAAACTGGTTTCTGTGCAGTGGCAGGGACAGATAAGCCATAGATCGTGGCTTTGTTTCAACAGTCTCAGTATTCATTTCATAATATCCAATTTGGAATATTCGTCATAACAGAAAAAAATGACCAGACACCAAGTATGAGATTGAGATAGTTTCGTGAATGCAATGTATGCATCGGTAACCAATGACCCATCTAAACTTTTAGTATCTAAGCGATATGGAGGTCCATCCATTACTGCGACCTCATCATGCATACCAGTTTCTTAAAAAAACATATATTTTGCCAGAAATTTGAACCAATATACATCTCACACCCACCTTGCCAGCATCATCTAGAAGAGCTTTGCGCTGCAGTAGAAGTTTAGCTACATCAAGGCTTCCATATTTTGCTGCTACATGTAACGGAGTGAATCCTTTCTGTTGAGATAGAATGAAGCAACCTTCATCATGTACATTTTCAGATCTATATCTTACTTTGTGTTAACTGGTGTAATTGTGACATGCTCTTTCATATCATAGCCATCTTTTCAAGGCCCAGCTCACCTTGGTGGACAGTGAGTGAGAGGCTCCGGCCTCCAGCAGCACGGCTGCCGTCTCAACTTGACCCTCCCTGGCAGATATGTGGAGCGGAGTGTAGCCATTGGTGGTGGCAGCGTCCGGATGGGCCATGTGTTGAAGCAGCAGCTGCACGATATCGGTTTTACCCAGACGAGATGCAATGTGGAGGGGAGTCTGGTCCTCCTGTGGACATGAAGTGAAAATGTGGAACGTGTTTTAGCATACATGAAAAATAGCTGAAATAATGGAAAGTCTGGAAGGGTAGTTTAAAACAGCCAGAGAGTGAGCTTCAAACATACGCTTTTTGTGTTTCACTGAATGGGATTTACCAGTGACTAACTCTGAGGATGCTGACTCACCCTGGCCATGGCATCCACTAATGCTCCATTTCTCAGCAAACAGCGGACCACTTCCATCTGACCGGCCCGCGCCGCCATGTGGAGCGCTGTCTCGCCACGCTGATGAGCAATGGCAACACATTTAGGATCACGGAGACACTGAACCCAATGGAAACGTCTGTGCTCTCAGGTAAACTGAGCATTGGGCCGAAAAAACAAACAAAAATGACCACAAAAAAAAACCCTACTCACAATGTTCCGGACATCAGGAGAGGCTCCATTCTGCAGCAGCAGCAGCACGATGTTGAGGTGACCCATGAAAGCTGCTACATGGATGGGGGTCAAACCAGACTGGAATAACAATTAGCATGATATTTAAAAACACATGAAGATAAATGAAAAAGAAGCCCGCATTAACTTATACAAACCAGTCATTACGAGAAAAAAAAACAAAAAACTAATTTACCTCAGTGATTGCCTGGATGGAGGCACCATATTTAATCAGCAGCTCCATCACCTTCACTCGGTTCTTCTTACAAGCAATATGGAGAGGAGTGAATCCATTCTGGTAGAAAGAACAAGAGACAGCTTATATCTGATTTAATTTGATTCAATAGCGAAGGGAGGGATATTATCCCACACCTGGTTTGGAATTTATCTTTTTAAACAAGAATAACGTCTTCTAATTTGCACACTGGTTAATCCCTGGGCATGAATGCGTGATGTTGCTGGTGCTGCTTGTCATTGGCATTTGAATTCTTACCAGGGCTCTTGCATTGGGATTGGCCCTCTTGTCCAGGAGGAGCTTGGTGACCCTGTGATGACCACAGTGAGCTGCGACGTGCAGTGCCGTGAGGTAGTCGAGGGTGACGTCATCCACGGGCGCCTTGTCTTGCAGCAGAAGCTTCACACATTCTGTGTGGTCTCCCTGGGCGGACATGTGCAGCGGGGACAGTCCGTTCTGAAAGGGGACGGGAGAAGGTCAGAAAAGCTGGTCAGAGGGGGTGCCAGAAGCACAAGGAATACCAGACAAGAGATTTCCTTATGGTAACATAGCTGTATCTTGCAGCAGAATGAAGGATGGATCCATATTTAGTAAAATTGCATACATTTAAGGCACATAATTGAAGCATGCGGATGCAGTGAGGCCACAGTCAGATGCTACCTTGGTTCTTGCTAAAATGGGGGCTCCTCTTTCCAGGAGAAGCTCCAACGCTGGGTCATGGCCGCTCCTGGCCGCACAGTGCAAGGGGGTCAGACCATCCTGTGGGACAATCACACATTCACAGGAATGGGTCCAAACACGTACATTTGTGCACGTTCTTGCTGTGTCTCACAATAAAGTTAGCCCCATAAGTTAGCAGGTGAGTTATTTTCATTCAAATCTGATCTAAGCAAGCCTTACCTTTGTTTTAGCATCTATCTGAGCACCTCGATCCAACAACAGTGCCACCATGTTGGTGTTGCCTCTCTTGGAGGCCACATGGAGAGGTGTTATCCCATTCTGACAAGACAATAGGGCAAAGTTAAGTTTGTATTCAAGATCTAAAACACACAAGCGACCAATATACATTTTTTCGTGAGAGGTACTTAAAATGATACAAAGCGCAAGGTATCTATTTGGATATTTTTGTCTGTTTCTATTGGGTGAGGACAAAATAACTAATGCATCAGTCTCAGCATGCAGGAGGCACTACAAACATGATAGATGTAAACGTAGTTGTTAAACTTGGATTCAATGGGAACGTTAGGATATGACAGAGCAAGCAGGCTGTTCTGTACGAGTCCAAATACAAACAGCCACACATGTCAAGTTTCAATAGACAGAGTGAAACAAAGACAGAGAGTCTTTATTTGTTGAGAGGAAGAAATAGGGCTCTACCCTGGCCGTGAAGTCAACAGCAGCCCCTCTGTTCAGCAACAGGGTGGAGACGTTCACGTTACCATAGTGAGCAGCGATATGCAGGGGGGTGAAACCACTCTGTTTATGACAGACAAGGACAGAATGCAGAGGGAGAGGGTGAGAGGGAGAGGAGGCACAAAACAGCAGAGAGACGAGAGAGAGAAAGAGAGAAAGAAAAAAGAAAGAAAGAAAGAAAGAGAAAGGAAAGTGTGTATCTGTGGTAGATACATGATAGAACCCTGATTCTTTTGAAGTGTAATGACAAGGAAGCATGCTTTAAACAAAGACGCTTGTCAATACACTACAAATGAGCACATTCCAAAAAAACTAACAAACATGAAATGCATAATGCATGCAAATCTCAATAAATCTGCCATGCTTGCTAAAAAGAAAAAAACAGACAGAAACATAAACTGCAGCGTTTTTGGATACTGAAAGACAAAATGGCTGAACTGAAGGGAAAAAAAGACTAAAACTCAAGGCAAAACAGCAACATATTCGCCTGAAACTATGTGTAACTTCTTCAACAGACAGGTGAACTTTCACATGAAAGCTGCAAACACAGAAAACTACGGTACACAGGTTGTAGGGCAAATAACTCCTTACCTTGCCATTCTGAGAGACACGGTGCAATTTAATTAAGAAACAAAGTTAAACTTAAAGATCCATAAAGTGTTTCACAGAAGAAAAACAATGACACCAACATGCTCAAAACTACTCATGCCGTTGGTTATGCAGAGAGAAAGAGTCCCAAAGAGAAAAGTCAAATGTTTTTGGTCAGTTTTTGGTAACATTTTGTAACACAAAGACATTCTCAAACTACTTTTATCAATTCAAATGCCAAAAAAAGACATCCTGAAACAAGTCATGGGTAGTTGAAATCAATTAAATAACATACACCGGGGAACTTTTCATATTGTTGGCCATGCAGTGTTGCAAAGCATGGTGGGATCCATGCGTTCATATTCATGGTACATAGAACTGTCGTGCAGGATGTCTCTGTGTCACAAAAGATCCAGTTAAGCGAGGCGAGAGTCAGCACAGAGGTGCTGAAATAGATCATTAGGCTTGACAAAACAGAATCAGATGAAGAGGTGATGAGTCAGTATACCTCTGTGGTTCTATTGACCATCATCTGGTTAGGATGCATTGAGAGAAAAAGAGGGAACAGGGTGTGGGATTGTTAAGGACAAAGACTTCACAACAGGAATATAAAACACGGGCGAAGAAAAGGAGGCACACAACAAGGTGCTATTGGGTGGGGGGCTTGCTTCACTTGCATTTATTATATTTCATAAAGTGTATGCATATAATCGATTAAAACTGATATTTCATGCATAATGGAACACTTCTTGCTAGCTCTCGGCTTAATTACCTCTTGTTTCCTTTGCCCCTGATGTTATATATATATACCCTCTATTGTCTTTAGTTTCTATCCTCCCTTTACTTCATCCTCAACTCTCATAAAAGCTTTCCTCCCCTCAGAAAACAGTTTGTTGGTTTTGGTCCTTCACCTTAGATTGGACGTCAGCATTGTGGTCGTTCTGAAGCAGCAGAGCAGCAGACTTGGTGTCATCTTTGCGGGCTGCTATGTGCAGGGCAGGCAGGCGGACCTTACCCTTTGTGTCATGCTCCAAGAGCAGGGACACCACTGAATTGTGACCTTGCTGGAGAGCAATAGCAAGAGGAGTGAAGCCATCCTGGAGGAGCACGTAAGAATAATAAAAGAAATTTGCATTAATGGCATTAATGAATACATTAAACAAAATGGCTTTGAATTATTTGAACTGATGAATACAGTTATACATGTATATATATATATATATTGAATATATATTCAATTTCACACACAAAATATACCTCTGTTGCAATGCTTTGGTTCCCTTCATTTTCCAACAGGTATCGCACCACCTCCAAGTGGTTCTCCTGGGCTGCCATGTAGAGCGGAGTAAATCCATTCTGCAGAGACAAAACAAAAACATACACATACGTCCAGCATAATGCACGTTAACATCTTGTTCTAGTTTATAACTTCTTTATGTACTTTTCTTAACAACTCCCACCTGTGACTGAGCGTTGACATCTGCTCCTCTGTTCACCAGAAGTCTGACTACTTCTTTTTGTCCAGCCAGTGAGGCGATATGGAGGGCAGTGTTTCCTTTCTGCAAAGAAAAGGGACGTTTAAGAGCAACCAAGAGTGTGAAGCCTTTAAAATGAAGGCCGATTGAAAATAGAGGTACAAAATTTAAAACGTTAAATGGTCACAGAATTTTTTTTCCCCCGACCTCACTGATCTGGGTAATTTTTCAAGCCTGTATTGATGCATTGATTGCAAACTCTACACCGAAACAAAACCAACAAACACTAATTCTACCTGTAAAGTGAGCCCTTAAGAATGCAGTCCCTAAAGGTGGAGAGTAAATTGGATCTTTTCTGAGCAAATAATGATGTATCTATGCCTCAACATTCAAGTTAGCTAAGTAATTTCACCTAATCATCTTACCAACTTTCCTATCTTACCATACAACAAAAAAAAATCATTAATAAATTGAGGAATAGTGATTGATTTTGGGGGGGATTTGGCCAATTAAAGTCAAAGACGCTGGGAGAGCTCTGAGGTATTATTGACTATAATAAAAAATAAACGCTATGTGTTATATTCTGAACCAAAAGCTGAAAGTCATATAATGTGGAAATGTGAATTACAAACCTCCCTTCAACATGTCCTCCTTTAAATAAACAGACTAAAACTCTGTTGTAATGTTCATGACACAAGTTGTGGTGAATGCCACAGCATATTTATAACAGTCAAAGAACATGAGTAGCATAGTGACAGATTCCATGTCGGCTGATCACTCCCTGCGAGCTGTGAAATGTTCACTGAGTTTTAGTCGGCAGCTTGACAAGCAGGCAGCATACGCAGGGCACTTGTTTCTCTTTCTCTATTACACAAGTATATAACGCAAGTATAGACCAGCTTCCCACTCTTAAAGCGGTTAAATGAGGGAAATAAAGACAGTAGGAAAATGTTTTCTTTCTTTCTTTCTCCCTTTTTTTTTTCTTCTAATGCCCATGATTTACAAAACAGGGAACATAGTAATAATTTGTTTGTGTGTGCACCTTGGTGGATGAGTCAACAGGCGCTCCTCTTTGCAGCAATTCATCCACTAGATCCCTGTGTCCTTCCTTAGCGGCCAGGTGTAGAGCATTGAGTCCATTCTGAAGGAAAAGAAACGTGATAGATGAATTACAGCAGTAATTCAAGATTCCGTTGGATCCCCTGTACAAACATAAAGTGTCAGGCTGCTGACTTTGCGAAACTTCGATTTGAACTTCACTGGAGGTATTTTCTATGGGAGAAAAACCCAAAACAGTACAATCCAGTGAATTAAACATAACACTACAATGACATTACATAGGATAAACCTTGGTCTAAATTTCAAGTAAGATGATGATGATGTTCTACACATTCTACACATGTCCACTATTTGAAACCGTATGGGGGCCCTTTTTTTACTTCCCAACATTAACATTTACATTAAAAACAGCAGTTTAATTTCACATTGTATGTCACAGAACTGTTCTCTTAGAGGATAATCTAAACAGAGCTGCATGTAAGCAGGCACACAGTAGGATCAACACACTCACAGCACATATGATCTATTCATTAAACACAAAAGCACATATATACTCAAAGATCCAGATATGTGCACACAGAGAGGAAATATTCACCTTATTTTCTTGTTCCATATTGCATTGTGTCCTTTAAGAACTTTAAATACAGTGACAGTGTGCTTATCCTTAAGCTTTCCTGTTCCTTAAAAAAAGCAACTATCCATATTCAGTGCTCTCCCCTGGGTGTATATTTTTTCCTTCTTAAACGGTGATCTGCCTTGTACCTATGCTATTTCCTTCTTTCTCATTTAGGTGGCCTGGTTTACAAAGAAGAGCTGTTCCACTTCTAGCTAAGTCTTCTGATTCCTTCCTTGCTGCATGTGCAACGTGCACATAGACACAATAAAAAAAAATAGACACACACCCCCCTCTCTCTTGCTCTTTGAGTTTCCAAATGCCAAACAGGCAACGGGGTCTAATGTTTCTGCTCAGTCATAGACACTATCTGTGTCAGAAACATATAGATAGATAGGCCATTTTAGAAGCCGCTGAAAATGTCAGGCTTTCAAAAGGAGGAGGAAGCAGGCATTCCAAAAGGCCACAGTCTCCAAGTGAGACTAGTTTAGGGTAATATGATATGACTTTAAAAGGAAAAATAGTTTTGCTAACATACTGAAATACACCTAAAATAAAACACTTACAAACGCAGTGATGTTAATGGTAAATACATTATTTCCATAACGAACTTTCATTTAGGTAAAAAGCTAACTGAGTAAAGGGCCCCTATGTTGACAGCAGCAATGTGACAAATACAAGAAAAGTCAACTAATGGTGACATTTTAGATTTCGTTTACACCCATACGCATTAAGGCTGTAACCTATATATAGTTTAGACTACTTGATTTTGCTTGACAGTCATTTTTCACATGTACATTTTTATGCACGTCATCTTTGTCAGGTTGAATTGCAGAAAATCTTTAAGTATCATCAACTCAGTAAATCAGAAATGAAACAACCTCCAAAAATAAATGAATGAATTAATAAAAAGGACCAGATGTTCTTCGCTTGTGTTTGAACGGGCTGGGAGAGTTCGTGTCAGCGTCAGATGTAAAATGGCTGACCCTGACACAGCAAAAAAAGAGATGCAATCTCTTTAGAGTGTTTCAATCACATTTAAACCATTATGCATTCCAGGAGAGACAAGCGAAACCACTAACACAACCACACATGCACACACTCTGTCACACGAACTGATCTAAAGCTCCTTTTCCTCTGAGCTGAACAGTGAGTGAAAGCTTCATTTAGCTAATGGATGCTCGGCCTCGGTAGTTTGAAGCTCCTCCTGCCCGACACAAACTCTTGACCTCCGTCCCGCACAGATTAAGCTCCTTGCTCTCTTGACCGTCGACATAATTGGACCTGTTTAGTCGGCATTGCTCTAGGGGCTCAAGTGCCATATGAGGATAACTTTAGGGGTCGAAAATGTGGAAAATAATGTAAATGTAGGCAGATTAGAGAGTAATAACACTCACCAAGGATTAACACAGTGGTAGATTAGAGGGAAAAGTCTGGTCTTCAATTGTGGAGCAGAGCAGCTCACATACACAAAAAGGAGATTCTGCTTACATGAAATCTCTCACACATTATTATATCATATCAAAACCAAGATGGAATATCCCCCGTTTTTCACAAAGGAAAACCTCCATCCTGCCTAGAAGCAGGATGGAGGTTTTCTGCCTGGGCAGCTATCTGTATTTGTTTGCCTCATTCATAAAATCCCCTCAGCAGAGAGGCTACTCTGCCACTTTGACTTTGGCAAGCTCAGAATATATCTCTTCCCTTCTCTTTAACTGCCACTGGCACCAGACTCTGTCAGTTAATATTTGCTAGCTGCTTTCTAGGATAGGGGTCTTCGGTTATTAATGAAAACAAGGCAGAGGTTCGGGCATTTCACAGCGACTGGCAGATACACAGAGCGAGAGGGTGTCACAATATGTGTCGAAAGGCACTGGGAGATAATGCAATTTAGATTTGCACGATTTCATACCTTTTGATGTTCTTACCCTTGTATCAGTGAGTCTGCCAGCCACACTGCTCATGGGGCAATTACTGATAATGGCTTTATGATTGCTTTATGAGTGATTTTCTTCTATTACTGCCATTGCCAAATCAACTTCCATGGTTTTGGAAGTTTCATTCAGATGTCATTACAACTCAACATCAGTATGAGGACGATGCTGATGGACCACTTGGCTGTTGTCAACGCTAAAGATGATTGGGGTTAAACTGTTCCCGAATTTATTCCATGCTAACATGGGCATAAAAAAAGTTTTTCCTCTTGAAAAGAGCGGTTGATGATGTAAGATGTTTAAATTGAAGTTGTTAAGATTCTTTATACAATTAGTGAATGGAGAAATAGTCAAATGGGCTAGAATTATATACAGTATGTGCGCACCTGCATGTCAACCTTAAGCACATTAGAACATTAGGTTAGCGGGAGAAAAGATCTTTGCCCAATTTGTATATTTCTAATTTATATCTGCAGTTAGATGGTTTTTCATCAGCTCTACCAGTACAGGTTGAAATGAACAGGTGGGAGGTTACATACTTATAGTCCATAGACATACCATCTATGCTTTAGTTTACTGGCACCAATACGTATACATATACAGAGGCTCCCACTAAAGGAGGTCATCACTGGTATACATATGAAAATGTCAGCCAAACTTTTGATCACCTGACAAGGTCTCAAATTTTGATCATCTGACACTATGAAATACTATCAAGGGCAGGGCTCTCTAGTTACAGGACATGGAATGTGTGTGTGTGTGTGTGTGTGTATATGCGCGCAAATGAACGCAGTCATGTATAGTCAGCCTTGAGCAAAACAAAACCCATGGTGTCCTTGCCAACAAACAGCAAAGCTGTGGGCGGTCACCTGCTGCTTCCTTGAGGCCGGTTAGTTTATTTATAAATAGTTTCTGCTCATTTGCAACAGAATCACAAAAGGCCGACGGCCACGAGACAGGGGAGCTTAGTAGATCCACGCCCATAAACAACTCCCCTCAACATCCTCCTTTGAGCCGCCTTGTGACCACTGTAAATCACGATGTGACAGAGGGGATGACAGAGCTTCATGGGAAGGATTTTGCCCTCTCCGATCCCCCTCCTCACAGGAATGCACTCTAAGAGTGTGTGTGTGTGTGTGTATGTAGGGGGGGGATTGGTAGCAGCTGTCAGTTGAACACAGACAACCCCTTAAAATGCTGCTGGATCCAGATAGGGGGGGGGGGTGGTTATAGATATGGTGGTGGTTATAATAGTGTTGAAATGTTTTAGGTATGTGCTGAGTGAGCCAAATTCTGTGATGCCACCATGACACAGCAGAGACATAACTAGCTTAAACTGGTCTGAAAAGATGGCCGCTGGTTCGAATTACATGGGCCGTGTTTTGAAATGAATATGTATATCTTGGTGTCCAATTCAGACGCCTCTTGAGCTTGTCATTTATATTTGGAGCTAAATCACATACACACAAACTGCACTCTGTATTGAATCATCAATATACAACAATTGATTTGTCCACAAACAAGATTGATTTAGCCTTTTCTTATTTTCTTGGATGCCATTTTTGCTCCATTGAACTTATAGGAACATAGTCAGTTCTTCATTGGTCTAAATTTAAATCTTATCAGATCCAAAACAATGTGCTTACATGGCCCTTGTTTGTTCACCAACAACAAGAAAGAATGACATAATTTGGGCTCATTGAGGATTTATCAGTCTATTTCAAAAGATTATTTGTCAGAACCTGAAAGGATAAAAGTAAAGCATAATCTTAAAGAAAGAAATGAGCTAGAGGTGATCAAACAGAAAAAATTGTAAAAACAGTAGAGCTCATCGCAGCATTAAATTATGTATGACTTTTTTTTATCATAAAGTTTATAACAGGTAAAAGAGGGTAAAGAAAGCCCAATGCATTGCAAGAGGTCATGTGGTCTGAAATCTGAATATATATTCTATAGTAATCAGAGAGCGTGAACTATCATTTTTGCATGTGTATTGACCAAATGGAGCATCTGTCGAGGTCTGTGAGGGATTGTCTTACCTGGTTACAGGTTCCGATGTCTACTCCATTTTTGAGGAATTCAAGGACTTTGTCTGTGTTTCCAGCCCGAGCGGCCCGGAGGAAACTGGTGTTACTGTCAGACTGAGGAAGAAAGGACAGATATCAGGCTGATGTTGAAACTGAAACCGCTAAGTTTTGAGCATTTCTATAGGAAAACATTCTCTTTTTGAACCAACTCCGAGTACAATTTAGGCTTTCAGCCTTTGTAAAAATGCATGGAAGCACTCATTTCCCATAGTGCTGCGGCTGCTTGTAATGTAGTCTGAAAAGGTCCCTCTACATTCAACCATTACATATATTTGCAAAGAGCAGCTAATACACACAGGCGTCTCCATTACATTACATAAGCATTCACTTCCAGTAGACACTTAACTGTATGTCAAACCAGGTCCTCACACAGAGATTTTATGCATGAGTTCAAACACAAAGCCATGAGAGCATTAGGTAGCCGTGTGTTTTGTGGGTCACTGTGCATTTTACCACAGAAACGATCATTTAACCCTAAAGCTGCTGAAAAAGTTGACCCACTCCCCCAACTCTGAAAAGAATGTAACAGAAGGACATGCAGTCAATGTGTTTTTTCATTCAATTTCAGCTATGTGGAAAATCAATCCTTTGAAATTCCAGGGCTGCATATCTCATGGTGACTATAAATTACACTTCAAAACAGGGTGAAAAATGTCTGCAGGGGCTCTAATTCTAAAATACCAGTTACAATAAAACAACTTGCATTCCATTCAAATTCATTTTCCCAAATTGTTTTCATAGTATTTAAGTATTAAAGTTAAACTATTCCAAATATTTGCAAAAAAAAAAATATTAATGAACTTTGAGTATTAATAAAGAAAAACTAAACAATGAAAACTATAAAAGACAGACCCACTTTTGTTACTATTATGTGTGTCTGTTACCAAAATCCTCCAATTTAATGTGTAAATTTAAGATATTTGAAGCTTTTGAACATTGTGAAAAATATTAAGAAAAGTTACAAATAATCTGAAAAACAAAATAACATCAGATAACTATTGCTTTTGGAGAAAAGCAAATGATGAATATGAACAAACTGGCACAGAATGAGGTAAGTACCTAAGTAAGTAATGAGTCAACTATATTACTATCAACATGTAGAATCAATAGTGATAAAGATGTTCTTGACTGTGCAACAAAAAAAAGAATGTAATAAATGCTCCTTACAAGTGTTAACAAGCTTTTGAACATCCTTATTAGTGCTCCTTTCAATTAGCTTATTAGTGCTTCAGTTATGACCGTGCCAGTCGGTCACATGACGAGTACTATGAGCTTCTCACTACAAGTCGCACATGAGGCCACACCTCTGTGGAGCTTCACAGGTCAAGCATTCTTCACGAGGAGTAACCAATATTTTTTTAAACACACACAAACATTTTTTGGTTCAATTAAAACGATGGCAACATGGTTGTAAAAGACCAGCAGTGTATGAGTCAGCCCCTTTTCAAGTCTTACCAGTGAATCATCCACTCCCGGTCCAGAGTCTGCAGCCTTGTAGTAATCGGCATGTTGGTCTAAGTCCCCGTCACTCCCATTTTGCTTCAGAGCTCTATTTGATCCACAGGTTTTACATGTCGCTGCATTGCCCATAATCACAATCCAACGCCGATAGGAAAATCCTTGCTATACCTTAATTTTAATCCCACATTTAGGCCAACCTTTTGCACGGTCCACCAAAGTTCAACCTCTATAATTTGTCACTTGTCATATTTAGCTGAAACTTCCTTTCCATTTCCTCATGCCTGGCTGAATGAATCGGTTCAGCCGTGCATTAAGTCCTTACTTGCTCCTTGCCTTTGCATTCTTCCACTACCTTCTTTGAACTCTGTTCCTCACCGTTTGACACCTCTGGTTCAGTTTCAGTCTTTGCGCTGCATCTGATCTAAGGCCATGTGCTCTTCCTTTAGCCCTCGTCTTTCTCAGTAGTCCGACAACTGCGGACATAAACAGATAACGCTCACAGTCTCTCCTGCTTGGCTATTTTTACCATTCCAGACCACCAGTCCAACCATGGAGGGATGCATGACAGCTGGGTTGCAGTTAGAATGTGGGCTGCAGGGCCTGCAGCGCTCCCCAAAAAGTAAATCAGTCCGAAAGGAGAAAAGCAAGTCCAGAAAAATATTGTGTTGTTGTATAGAATCTAATGGTAATTGAACTGAACTTCTCTCCTCTCTACTTTGATCTATATTCACAGGAGACTATCAGACTGCAAGAAGTGAAAGCTCTCTAACTCCTGTTCCAGAATGCTTTTAAGTCTTAGTCATCAGTATTGTGATAATAGTATATAATGTATACACAGCACATAGGAAAGTTGTGTGTGGGTGTGGTAGAATTACTCCACAAAGAGCTCTGAAGTTATGGTGTTCAGGAGGAATTGGGCACAAACCATCCTTTCTAAAATATTCCATTATCTTATTGCAGATCTAGTATGAGCATACTCAGTGTTTTTCATGCTCAGTGTTTTTAACATGTAAGCTTCTGCACGTGTCACGGTTTCTGTTGGCCGAACAACAAAACAGAAACAAATTGGAGAGACAGTGAATCAGCTGTAAGCCACAGCATTTGTGTCAATTGATCTGGAGTCAGCCAAGAGTGGATAATAGACTTACTCTGACCAAGTGTCACAGTGTGGAAGCAAAAGTCTAATTAATGTCTCATTTTCTGAGACAAAGAAAGTGCTTTAAGATCCACTTCAAGAGTTTTTTGTTAATCCATTGATATAGAGAACTGCAGTGATTCCTTTTCAAAAGATTATTACAGCATGACTCATGGTCTTATGATGTGTATTAGAGTACAACCAATGATAAGGTGGATAGATGTTCACATGCATTATACGCCGATTTGATCATGTTCATATTAAATGCTAGATGTCATGGCGAGAAGCGAGGTGAATGTGCAGAATAAATGATTTTCCAAATGCAGCTTGAATCGGCATGATATATGTCACATGGAACCATGTCAAAATAGCAGCTCAGTGCCCTAAACATGCCCCCACTCAGCACAGGGTAAAGTTGGCTCGTGCCTTTGCCCGGTCTAAAAGTAATTGTCTAAAATTCCAAAAATGCCCAAATCATTAGCTCGACTTGTACAATGTGACCCCAAATGTCCACATCTGGACAAGCCCTGCAATCCTGTCACAGGGTCTCCTCTAACAACACATCAGAAAAAAAAGTAACACATTTCGTCTTACTGCAAGCATTTTTTGAGGAAATTGCAATCACTTGAAGTATCTCTTTTACCTGACGCTTCCGCTCAGCTTTTTCTCGCTTCCGTATCCTCTTCTCCCTGGCTTTCTGCAGAGCTTTGTATTCTGAATGCAGCTCAAGCTCGCGAGCTTTTTTCAGATGGGCTGCAGCGTGGGCCATCACCCCACTCCTCTACCTCTTCTGGATCCAAAGAATTGGTTTAAAACGGTTGCTGGTTCACTTCATCAACTTATATACACCCTGTTTTAATAGCACTAATAGCACCTGAATTGTTTTAGCATTAAAAAAATTTATGTGTGAAAAGTGGTGAATCTTCATACTGTATAATAGCACATTTGTATATATATATTTTTAAAGAAGGCATAAAAACTCTCCCCTTCTTCAGATTTGATTTGTTCAATAAAATCAGAAAAGAAGATTTATTCCTCCCGAAAACAGCTTAAAAGAAAAAAACTGATTCCCTCTTGTCCTGCGCATCAGGCGTCCACTTGCCGATAAATTCCAAAGACGAACGTGTTATCTAATGTACACGAGCACAAAGACGGGACACCATGACTGAAAACTGTTGAATGATAAGAATAAAATCCATCCAATCACATACCACAGATCCCATCACACACACACACACAAACACACACACTCACACACACACATGCACACACAAATGATCCACACCAGATGTAGGTGGAAACTGTACCCTGTATGAACAGATGTACTGGCAAAATATGCTTGTGTGTGTGTTTGTGTGTGTGTTTGTGTAGCAGTATGAGCATGAACGTGGCCGTTACTTAATATCTGACCTGCAGTCACAGGAAAGTGTGTATTGTGAAAAGCTCTTTAGGGAGGCTGCGTGCCACAGCTGCTTTGACAGCGCTCCACGTGACTGTAAGAGGTGCACATCAGGAGATGAGGTGAGGGAGTGGAGTGATCAAACCGACCAAATAGATATTTAAACATATGCAATAGCCTCAGTCAAATACTTGTCTCGAGAAAGTGTGTTTACCCCAACATAGACTAAAATGAGAAAATAAGAATTACTGTAAAAAAAAAAAAAAGCAGCAAAAAGCCATCTGCTTAATTCAGCATAAAGCTGATCCCATTTGTCCATCTTACATGATCCTTTTTCAGTCTAAATACTAAAAGTCAGCTTTTGCCAGCCTCTGGTTTTTTTCTCCGAGTCTCAGAAATGACCTAGATGGGATAACAACTTTGATATCAGAAAGTGGCACACGACCTTAAAAAAGAGAAAGCTGACTCATTTTTCTTAAACTGATAATGGCCATCTAAAGGATAAGGCATTGGTAAAAGGATAAAAGCTGCAGTTGCCTTCGTAAATACCTTAAAAAGCGGTCAGAGGTCCACCAGTGCTCGGCAAGAGTTTGAAAAGGGCTGCCGTTATAAGCCCGAGAAACAGAGCCCGACTCCCTCTAGCAGGGATTTTTTTGTAAGACTGTATGATATAACCAGCTTGCATAAGGCAATATTTCAATCTAACTATCCAATATGTGAGGCCCTTCAATCACTTTAAATACTTCAGCACGAGCATCGAAGAAGAAAAAAAAAGTCCCTCTCTGTGTTAAAAGTCGAATATACTCGCGATTTTAGCGGATTAATGTACTCAGACACACAAGCAGAATCTACAAAAGATGTTATTCTTCTGTGTCACTCAGACCCTTATTTAAAAGTCCTAAAAGTCTGTCGGTGGCATGGGTGTGATTATAGTCCACTTTTTTTTTTTTAAAAACAATTTTTATGGAACAAATAGAAAAGCTGAGTGATAATGGGTACAAGCTGTACTCTTGTCATCCAGCAGTAGAAGAAAAAGGTGTCACTTTGTCTGAGAGAGGGCCAGAAAGCACACAGAACTAAGTCCAATGGTCTTATAGTGCAGAAAGTGGCTTGGCCTGAATATCAGCTGAACCTTACCTTGCCTTACACCTGCAACCGGTTGAATATGACCCGACAGGTTGCTTATCTAAGTGTATGTGTGTGTGTGTGTGTGTGTGTGTGTGTGTCCAACACATGCAGATAGCTGTCGAGGTATCTCTCAATCAAAGCAGCTAATGTTAGCAGTTTGAAATTTCAGCACCAGAAAACAGGGGCGCTATCTCACACCTCTATTTCTGTTCACGCGTCCTGCCCGGTACGTTCGGTGGTCAACAAACTACAAGAGCATCAGCAACATTTCTTTCTAATAGTAATCATGAATGGGGCAGATCTGCTGAATCACTCCACAGTGCCATCTAAAATGTTTTCCTCCGGTGGTCTGATACCAAGCGCTTCATTTAGGTGCCTGACCATCCTGCCGAGTACAACTCTCTGTTCATTTAGCACTCTCTGCTGGAGACACGGGTAAACATCTCAGCCTCCCAGATCTAACTTAATAGACAGTAAATAATGGCTCGATAACGTCACTGGGTAAAAATAGAAGATTTATAAGGATCAAGGAACGCAGGATCTTTGCATCATGATGCAGCGAAAAAGCGTCTTCATCCGCTTTATATGCACGAGGAATAAATTCTGGTTGGCCCAGAAGAAAGAAATCATCTATAACACTTCAAACAAAAGTGTGATGCTGTGCAGAATAACTGTTCTATGGCAAAACTTTTTTTCATCACCCGTTATGTTCTTGAAATGCAAATGAGGGATTAAAATGAAAATCTATTTATTTTTACACTTTTGTCGTGAGTGATATTTCCCCCTTTGACATCCAGGAGTTAGGATATCTTCATATCTGAATATTTCACGACTCGGCATAACGTCACGTTGCCTTTCCGTGTTATATTTGACATATTAAGAAGCGTTAATGATGCATGCCCATCCTTTTAAAGAGCAACAAACCGAATGCTGAAATACACTATACGCTACACTGTAGGCAAATTTACAAATATGAATACAATTATTGTATTTCCTGAAACAATGAGTTTCAGAATTAGCTGAACATCTTTTGTTGAAAATGTTGGCTAAAGATCAAAGTATTGGTAGAGCAGGTAAGCAGATTCACAAACAGTGTACACCAGAGAGCAACCCTATAGCTGCCAAACATGTAAAGTATGGCTTTGCATGTTTGGTCAGTGACCTGTGTTGATCCCTCGTGAAATATAATGAGAATATGGAGAATAGATCATAACAAGTGTGTGTGCGCGCACTGTCCATTTAGGAGTCATGTTACACTGACAGAGGAGTCCAAAGAGAAACTGATGCAGGCTCTTGTTTCTGTTGTTTTAGTGTATCTGACATATAAGAAGGGGGTTAATGGTCTGCTTTCCATATTATAGATCCAAAGGCTTTTATTTGGCCCATTAGGTCTCGTTGATAGACAGATATGGGGGATGCAGAGACCATCACACAACTGTGTGAGTGCTTGTGTTACAAACTGCAACC